GCTGCTGAGTTACTACCAGTTGCCTCTGGTGATGAAAGACATTTGACGGAGCATAAGGCCTATGGTCTAATTCCTCCCCTTCCTGAAGATACTGTGCTTCCTGATGCTCTTCTGGCCAGTGAAAGACGGAGAAGACAAAAGTAAAATTAACTTTGGGAAACACTAAAAGCATGTGGTCAGCTCCTGTGGCACTTCAAGATTCTTCTTTAAACTCAGCTTTAGAACCATTTAATCAAACTTACACTTTTCATATGTAAAGGAATTTTTGTAGCATTTGTATTTCTAGAGAAAAGAACTGAATATATATATACAGCAGTTCTCAAAGATAGAAATCATAAGACAAGTAAAAGCAACAGTATGAATCAAAATCTAAGAACCTTATTTTTAGCATAAAATAGGGATAGTATTTTTAGACTCAGCTGCTTCTTAAAGCTTAGGGGTTTACCCACACTGAGTAAAGCTTAAACCGTCAGGATTTTAATGGCAATAGGTCAAACAGATTTTCGCTTTTTGATCCGTGTTTCATTCAGTCTGAAAGAGTGTGACCAGCAGGTCAAGTGAGATGATTCTCCACCTCTACTCTGCTTTCATGAGACCCCGCCTGGAGTACACGGCTAAGCTCTGGGGCCCACAACACAAGAAGGATGTGGACCTGTTGGAGTGAGTCCAGAGGAGGGCCATGAAAATGATCAGAGGGCTGGAGCACCTCTCCTATGAACACAGGTTGAGAGCTGGGGTAGTTCAGCCTGGAGAAGAGAAGGCTTTGGGAAGACCTTAGAGCAGCTTCCAGTGCGTAAGGGGACCTGGGAAATCTGAAGAAGGTTTTCTTACAAGGCCATGCAGTGACAGGAGAAGGGGGAATGCTTTAAACTGACAGAGGGGAGATTTAGATTAGACATTAGGAAGAAGTTCTTTACTGTGAGGGTGGTGAGGCACTGGCACAGGTTGCCCAGAGAAGCTGTGGCTGCCCCATGCCTGACAGTGTTCAAGGCCAGGTTGGACGGGGCTTGGAGCAACCTGCTCTAGTGGAAGGTGTCCCTGCTTGTGGCAGGGGGTTGGAATTGGATGAGCTTTAAGGTCCTTTCCAACCCCAACCATTCCATGATTTTATGGATAACTATCATTGCTCTAGAAGGACTTGTAGTGAAAAATTATCCAAATAATCAAAATGAAATCCAAACTGCCTTCAAAGAAAAAAGGGGCCTGATTCACTTGCACTTGGTTCTCACCTCTCCAGCCCTCAATCAACCCCGCATCTCTCCCCCTGCAGTCAACAGTAAGAAGGCAATGCTGTGCATGCCTGGGTTTCAGTCTAGCACAGCCAATAATAAGTCCCGCAGCCTCCAAAGCACCTTAATAAATATGTTTTGGGTGTTACACTGAAGATCAGAAGAAACAAAGATGGAAACAAAGTTAGGCTTCATGTTCATTTTAAGGGGAGACAGGAAACAGCAGAGGCTAGAAAGACTGTGCCCACCCTTATCCCTTACAACTCTCTCCCCTATTTACAGGTACCAGGCGGTGCCCACAGCATGTCTTGTCTATTGCTTTTCACTATTGGTAATGGACACAGCTGAACAGCAAGGACCTTGCGGTGGTACTAAGGTCATACAATTCATTTCTGTGTTACTGAACTATAAAACCTTCTTTGAGAGTCCATAAAATCTATTTTCATACAAACTGAGATTTACAGAAGCAGCTCCCTGAGAAGCAGGATGGCATTTGATAGTCTCTTCCCTGTAGATTACCCAGTATCTGAACTGAATTCACCTCTTGTAGTAACTCAATATCTTGAAATTCTGCCTGTTTCTCCAATTTGGCTGAAATCAGCCAATGCCTTTGACAGTGTTGGGTGTGGGGGATAGATGGGGAGAGACAGCATGATCACATACATCTTGCATTCCTTGGATGACAGCCAAGGGGGAGAGGCAGCTCTGAGAGCTGGTAGGGGTGTAGAACCAGATTAGATAAGTGACTTCCCACTGCCGAGAGAGGGAGAGGCAGTGCTGCTTTCAGCACTCCTGCTCCATTACAAATAAGTGATGTCATGACTTAAAGAAAAAATCACCTACTATCCTGCACCGCTTCCCCCCAAAGACTTCCGAAATGGCTTGCTAAGAAAGAATAAAGATGTAATAGAGATGGAGATGAAAAAGGAAGAGAAAAAGTAACAAGGCAAACTCTCCCTTCAGTTTAAACCAACCACAGACCATCCTGGAAGAATGGCAAAAAAATTAGCACTGTCAGAAAAACAGGGCAGTTGCTTTTTCCCAATGTGGTTTTTCAAGAGTACTTAACATTTGGATATTTCCTTTCACTGTCTTCTGCCATTCAAACTTTTTTTGCTATTTAGCTTTTCAGATTAAAAGTGTTTTTTTTTTCCTATAAAATATAAAAAACTTTCCAAAGGCAAACTGTATTCCTATTTGAGTCAATAACGTGTGGTTATCTGAGGCAGGATCAGATGGAAAACTGAAAAACTAAATGAACTTCCTGAGCAGACCAAGTGGCTTAAGGGGTGCTGGAGAGTCAAACCTTGATCTGATGCAGATATTACTCAGACCTGAACAGGGCTTGAGCATGATGGCACAGTCTATGTACCATTCATGGGTCAGTTACAGTATTGAAGACTGGTGAGCTAGGCATTTAAAGACAAGGGTGTGGACCAGTCTGGTAAATAGAGCTATTCCCTACTTTTTTTCCCTGTAATGGATGAACATTCATTTTTCAGGTTGGTTGGATCTGTGTTCAGCCACAGGGACCTGTTCCACAGCACTTTAGGCTCCTGGACATGTTCTTGAGGAAGAAGAGAGGAAAGCTCCAGGTAATTAGGGTGGGAGCAAGGAAAGAAAATTGATTTTTGAGAAATACTGAGCAAGGATTGATTGGCAAGAAAAAACAAGGGGACAAAAAACCAGAGTTTGAAGAAAGAAGAGCCACTCTCTTGGACTCAGTGATACGGAGAGGTCAGATTCAGGGACTGCCCATGAAAATGCAGCTTCTGTGTTTCCCTTGACCGACAGTGACCCAGCTGGGGAAAGTGATCATCCCTTCTGCTTTTGAGGTCCGGGTGAGACAAGAGCAGTTCGGTGCCCACTACTTGGAGGCTTGGCTGCCTGGTCTAAGGGGCAGGAGCAGCTCAAGGGAAGTAGGCAGGACCTCTGTTCATTGTTCCTCATCTGTCTTACCCACTGCGCTTTTCATTCCCTTGGGCAGAGCTGCAGACACTATGCTCAACAAGGAAAGCTGCAAGGGCTCTGGCAATGGTCCTCACCAGCAGGATTATACACCAGGCTTACGGTCTTTACTTGGAGCACTTTAGTGCCTCATCTCAAGCATGGACATTCAGCCTATGTGAAGGATTTCAAGTGACAGACCGGGAAAGTCTCCCCCAAAGGGTCCTTGGAAAAATGCGATAAGCTGCCCAGTGACGATGATGAGGGTCATTACCGGGTTTAACCCATCAGGGATCAAGAGTCCACTTTGGTCTTTCTCCACTCACCAACCATTTAAAGATAGTTTCTTTATAAGGACTTCAAGTGCAGTAACATTCGAGAAGAAGGACTATAAGGGGAAAGGCAGAGGCTGGAGGTTTAGGAAGGAGTTAACAGGTCATTTTGAAGAGTGCCAGGTCTAGCTCTGAAGCTCACCCTGCTTTGCAGTGTAGTGGCTTAGATCAGAGGTTTGAAGGACAACTCTGAATTATTACTTGATTTCATGCTTCTGTGTGAAAGGTGTGAATTTTTTTTCCTTTCCAATTGTCTTTTAGAACATTTAGTGAAGGAGCCAGTAAAATAAAGACTTTGATAAGGAAGTGCAAGTGAGAATTGTTCTTCCTAATACCACCCAGTGGTGGCAAGTGTGATACCAATAAAAAGGAAAATTAAGTGTTCATAGTATCACAGTTGCAAAAATAACCCAACCAAAACCAAACTTGTTAACTTTTCCACACACAGCCTTTGATCAGAATATATGTGCTCATGTATAGTCGTAGGCAATGGGACAGCACCCCTTTGAAAGGAGAAGGAGCACTTTATCAAGGACAATGGGTCCTGAGAAAGTCTTCAAAATCACTGCATTAATAATTCTATACACACACATATGCACATGTGCACAACCACACGATGCAGAATCAAAAGCTTTATGAAGACAGAAAAAAATCAGGTCATTCAAACAACGTTCAACACATTTCTTTATCCATCCAAGTAATTTTATAGCCCTAATGAGTATAAAGCAACCATATGATTCCTTCAGGATCACCAGTTCATCTCTACATCTCTCCTTATGCCTGCTTTCAAGTTAGGTACCTGCAAATGATTATTAATAAGCATTTCTACTTTGACAACAGCATCCAAAGTTCCAGTCAATACTGGGACTTCATTTTGACAGGCTGCACCAACACAGAGAGAAGGGGACAGACCCAACATCAAGAGTTTTCAACTGAAATGAATGGCTGGTGAAGGCTAAAAGAGAAACGGGGAATTTATTCAATGCCCTGCACAGCACATCAGAAAACAGGCATTGAACCTCCTTACTGGTTATGGACTTTCAACAGATTAAAAGATTTTGCCATATGCAGTTGGTTTGCATACTTCAGTCAAAGGTTTTAGGCTTAAATCAGGGTAAGTCAGAAGACTTGTATAGATCTCATGTGGAACATAACATCACCGTGTACTGTTGTATACTGGCTTTACACTTTTTCAGGCATAGATACAGAGCTGTGAGGTAGTCTTCTAATGGAAGAAATTATAATCCCATCACCAGAATAGAAAATTGTATTTTAAGGTGAAATAGCAACTGATTCTGCAAAGGTAGGGAGGATGAACCGGTGGCCAATTAAGATATTTTTGTTTATGGCTTCCACAATTCTATAAAATGGACGTATCTTAAGGCTCATTAGTTCCTTTCTTCAAGACCAGAAATATCCACAGATTGTCTGTGATCAAAACCTCAGTCCTGTCCACACACATTTCTTGTAGCCAAATTCATTTGTTACTGACCTGTTCCACTCGGATATCAAATTCTCCATTCACCTTCTTCCCCTGGAAATATTTGGCCCTGCAGAAGAAATGAGAGAGACAAACATGGTAAAAGAAGATTTTTGGCTTTCATTACATACTGTTTTGCTTCTGCATTTCCCTCTTTGCTGAATAATTTCTATCCGGGTCACAGCATGTTTTCCTAATTCCTATCTTCTTTCAGCTTTCTGTTCTCCAAAAGAAACCCTCCAAGCCAGATGAAAACCACATTGGAAAGTTCCTTCAAGGCTTGTGACTTTTTCATTTTATTTTCAAACTGAAAACCAAATGCTCTCCTAATCTTTTCCAGAGCAAAGATTCTAATAGAGTATTCCTTGCTATGTCTCATTTAATACTCCATCTTACTCTGTAAAAGAAGGAAAGCAACATGTGGCACAACGTTAGAAACTACTTCGGACTTTGAGCAAGGATTTTTATCATCATAGCTAACTACTTGTGAAGCCTATTCCCTTGCTTTATTGCTACAGAGCTGCTTTTTGATTCTGTTTGATTTTCCACTACTGATTTAGAAAAACAGTATCTGCATCTACAGTGTTACTAATGAAGGACCTCTGTGTTTGCTTTGGAGCTGAAGAGTGTCAAGAGAAGGACATATACCTTCCACCACTCTGCTCCTATCTGCCTACGCTTTGCAGACAACAAAGTACTTTCAGAAGGACTGGTTGTTTATGATAGGGAAAGGCTGACAGTAGTGCTGGAGAAAAAAAAACATAGGAAAAGGACAGGCAGTTTTAGCTTTTTTATTCGTATTTGTGTATAATTCTCCTTACATTGAATAGTCAGCAGGGAACTTGCCAACGTAATTTCCACTGTGAATATATCTCCCCAGTTCTTCCCCTCACCAAACAAGCTCGGCAGAAGAAAATATGAATTTATTTTCTCAGATCTCCCCCCTAAAACTTCAGGAAGACCATGTAGGTTCCAAAAAGCTGTTCTATTTGGAAACCCTTGAAAACACAGTTCAGCCCTGCAAGAGCTGTTTCCAGAGACAAAGTAACTCTCTGCATTCTGTTTCCAATTGGCAGAGAGAGGACAGAATAAAGAAGTAAGGGAAAATGAGGGGAAGCCGACTTTGCTCCCTGTTTTATAGTATTAGCAAAAAAAAGAAGAATCTGGCTCACATTTTTACTATGTGTCTGTTTGTTCCAATTAAAAAAAACAAAAAAGAGGAGAGGCAGTAGGAAGGCAATTTTCCCCATGGCTGAAACACACCAGTTTTCAGCTGCATGCTCCCCTCCCCCAGGAATGTGACATGTAAATAAAAACCTGTTTTGTCATTCTGGCTCAAAACCAACTCAAAACTTTACATTTTATTAAAAACAAAACAAACCGAAGCAAACCTACATAAAATAATTCCAAAAGTTGTCTGCTTCATTCTTATTAGGATATCTGAAGGCTGTATCAGGCTTCCCTTCCCAGACAGCCCATCCATCAGCATGGTGGTGATAAGACCTCTGTCCAGAGATCAGTGGGGGACAGTGTAGCAGCCAGGTGTGACCAAGACCAAATCACTCAAACGACCCTGTCCGGTATAAAAAGCAGAGCTGTGGCCATTTTTTCTCTCTTCCTTGAATTTATGAGTGTTGCCTGAAAAGGAGCTCAGCAGACAAGCGGAGACATCATGCCTCTAACAATAAACAGGAACGCTAAATGCACTTAATAATTCCATCGTATTTCTGGAGGCTTCGCTCTAGAGGGCCTGGCAACATTCCTTGCTCCTAAACACTGGGGATATTGCTGGAATCAGTGACTTCTTGAAAACTGGAGTACGCTTTAAGTGGGCCCACAGGAACTGGTCTGAAATTTGAGGCACACTATTCACGGTACAAGCTTGTTTTTATTCCCAGCACACTCATAATGTATACTACTTATCCCCATTTATGAAACACACTTCCTCCCTCTATGGCCTTTCCTCTTTGCTGACCAGCTGGTTGCAAACTCCTTGGTGCTGCTTTGCTTCAGCTTGTAATGAAGTGTGATTAACCACAGTCTTTAGCCCAGCAAAGAGGCTTCCACTGCCTAGTGCAGGAAATGAGCCTTCACATGGTTAAAAATGTCCTCTCTCCCATCTCTACAGTACTGGCTCTACTCATGGGTGATCACACAGAGAGGATATCCAGAGCAAGGAGTCATTGGAATACAGCAAGGGATCTCAACTTAAGCACTATATGATCTTCTTGCCCTCTTCCCACACAGGTTGTTGCACCCCATGTCTCAGGTAACTTTCTGTCAACAGCACAATATATCACTTTCTTTCAAAGAAAGCCCCCCAGGAGGGTTAACCTGCTCTGAGTGTCTCTGAAGACTACAGGTGCTAAGCAATTTGCAACCAAATATTTTGGTCAGCCCATCATTTTGACATGGCCCAGGGTAGGAATGAAACATTTCTTACTGAAGCACCTCTGGAGTGAGGTTTTCAATTCACACCTGGGGTTTTGGAGCCCCTGGGAAGTAGAGGCTATCATGTTGAAATGAAAAATGGCTTTAGACTCACCCTGGAGCCCTGACATTTCAAGCAAGTTGGAATCATTGCTGATGTTGTGGAAACATCATGATGCCTCTGTTACAAGAGGGAATCTTTTGGTCACTAGTGCACAATGTGTGAAATGGCTTTTGGTTCCTATGGTGGACATGAGATGGAAGAAAGGAAGATTATGCTGTTCTGCTGGGGATGCAAGAGAAAGGTAGATTGATGTTTCTGGTAGGTGAGGCTGTGCAATCCATTTGTAAGATGCTTTCTGCCCCAAAACCACCTGTGCAAGGCTCTTCCAGACCTCTGCCTAGGAAGTGACATGCTCCAGGGCTATCTAGTGATCCTGCAGTGCAGCAGGGGAGTGACATGCAGAAGACCAGTCAAAAGCCTTTCTGGGGAGCCTCAGAAGTGTCCCCATTCACCTCTAGCATAGCCAGTTGCTAGTGATCAGAGGAGCAGCTCATTGCCCTGGGATGGGGGGCTGTTTGTCCCCCCAGCTTGGGACACAGGGCAATGCAGTGGCCCTACAAACCTACCCCCTCTCCTGGGCAGCCTGCAGCACTGACCACTGCTTGGCTGGCCATCCCTTTATTATCAAGCATGTCAGATGTTCAAACCCGCCAGAACACAGAGTTATAATTTGTTAGGCAGGGTGCAGATGGGATGGTGTGGTTGCTGTGATCTCAGTAAATTAGCATGTAAACATGTTTGACTGAAGAAAACTGCACAGCCATGCTCAAGAACAGTTCCTGGGTAGGATTTACAGTGCTAGGCAATGCATGTAAATGTAGCTGCATTGGCTGGGAGGGAGGAAGCACCATAATAAACAGCAAAAGGCTGTTTCTTTTCCAGGGAGAAAGCTTGCCTTGAATCCTTCTCTCTTTGTGATGGAAGAAGCCACATGCTCTGGAAAAGGACATATTTTCTGGGTGCAAGAGCATCAAACAAACTTCTGCTTTCTGCCTCAGCCCTGACATGATTACAGGGCCACAAGAAACCTGATGACTCTTCTTATGAAGTAATTTGGAAAGAATAAAAGCTTATTTTCCAGAGCTGCCATGAAACAGGCCCCGTCTGCCTCAGCGACTGTGGCATATACATAATTCTCTGTCACATACAGAGTGCATCCTTAATAGCAGAAAGGAAAAATAAATGTTCAATTTATCTCTGGTTACTTCATAAGGGATAATTCACACAAAGCCCATGTATAATATTAGTGCCTTTAGGTGTTTGCAAATCATCTGTCTGAGCAAGGCATGCCATCACTGACCCAACACTGCAAACACATTTGTAAGACACTTGAATACCAGAGTTTATCCCTCTGGGTGTCACTGACAGCTGGGACAACTTGTACTGTGCCTGTGTGAGGGGTGCCCAAATCAGCATGCTCCCCTGCTCCTTCCTACTAATGCCCCTAGTCTGCAAACACATGGATTCACTCCTCATGGGTGCAAATTTTCCTGTCAAAGCCTCATGTGTCACAAGGCCCAGGGGAGGTAAAGCTGGGCCAGAGGGCTACAGGTACAGGAGCTGGGGCCAGCCTGCATTGCCGTGCTGGTCCTGTGTCATGGAGGAACATGCAGAAGAGAGTAAGGGCTGGAGTAAGGGCTGCCCAGGATCAGCAGCAAAGGGCGAAAACTCACAAGCTATGTCTGTTGGGTGAACACAGATCGTCTAGCAGTTTCTCTCTGTATGATAAATAACTGGTTACATCTGCCTTGTGCTTTTTCTGCTTTAAAACAAAAGTTGGTGCAATGGGTGCTCAACCCACCAGCCAATAAACATGTTCAGCACAGGAATCCAGGAGAAGCTATTTCCGCAGAGATTGTACTGTCTCTTCTGGAGTTATTTCTTTTCTCTTCCCTCTGCTTTTTGACTTCTGTTGCAAAGCAGCATATCCAAGGTGTTTAAGAGGACTGCTTCAGTGTTTTCCCCTGTATCTGTGGGAAAGAGAGGCATCAGGGATGCAGCAGGGGACTGCACAACTTCTAGCACGCTGGGAAATGCTATGCACAGGTGATGAATAGGAGAAGATGCAGGTACAATTACAGCAGGTATTACAGCTTGTTACCTGACTGCAGCAGGTATCAAGCATCGGCTAAAGAAAGTGCCCAGGGAGCTCTTCCCCAGATACAGTGCCACTAGACCGCTGCCCGTGTAAGAGGTGCAGAGCACTGGCCTCAATATTGGGAAGGGAGTAGCCAGGAAGGATGAGAGATCTGAAGTGATTGTGATGGCCTGGAGGAGTGCTGTGATTCATTAGCTGGGTGAAGCAGAAGTTATGACAGGTAATACAGCTTTGAAGACAGGCTGGTATTTTGTATTAAATTCATGATATTTCTTCAGGTATCCTGTAAAATGGTTTCTGTATAAAGCAATTTTCTAGGACAGGAAGAGATCAAGGAAATCAAAGAAGTATAGCTCAAATCTTCTTGTGAGAGACCTCAGTGGAGCTGATGTAGCAAATGTCATTGCAACGGCTTGTAGTATGTCTTCATAAGTGGGAAGCCATCCTTTAGATGAACAAACAAACCTGAGCCCAAATC